TGTTGCTATTACGATCGAAGTAGAGGACAGAGATTGGCCGGCGTCGCGTGGGCACGCAGCATGAATGCCCCGATGCCTGGATGTTGTTAGCTTTGACGAGGTTGAAGACAGCTGTGTGGAAAGAAGAGGCCATCCCAGGGCTGCCTGCCACATGTAGAGGGCACTGGCCCACACAGTAGTTTATCTGGTAGCCCTCAGGCTTAATGATCCAGTCGTTCCAACCAATGTCACGGAAATCCACGTAGTAGTCCTTACGGCAGCAGAGGTTGGAGTTCTGGCTGCAGCGGAGGCTGCGCTTGGCCACGTGGTGTCCCAGCTCCCGCACCTTTGCCTCTGCCACCAAGAAGGGCTGGAGGGACCGGCTGGCATTGACTATTGCCATGAGATCACCCCCATCACCATGGCTTTCCAGTTCCAGCCGCAGGATCCTGCGCTCTCCCCCAAAGAAACTCTGCAGGGCAGGCGTGAGGGTGAAGGCACGCCAGCCGCTACCCTTAGCGCTCAGTCGCCTCTCACTCAGCAACGTGCGATTGCCCCCCACCAAATCACCTTCCCCACCAGCAAGGAAGATTCTCAGGGTGAGGCTGGCTACCAGGTCTCGGGGAACTCGAAGGTAGAGCCAAAGCTGAGCCTGCAGGATGTGAACGTCCTGGTCTTGTGTACGGCTGAACTGGAACTGCAGCCCCAAGCCAGAGGGAGATGTGGGCTCTGAAGGGAGAAAGGGATGAGGAGGTGAATGCTGCAGGATGCTAGGGAAGGTAACGCTGCACCACCGTCCTGCACATCAAGGCCAGTCTCTTTCAGCTTCTCAGGAAAGACCTACAAACTTCCCTCCTGCCACAGGGCCCTCAGTCTGTCCCCCTCCCTTCCTTGGGAAGGCTACCCAGAGTGGGAATGTGTTGGAATGGGGGACTGTCCCACCCTGCCTGGCAGAATGGGCACAGAAAGGGGCATGGGGCACCTGCTCTCACCTGGTCCTTCTGGCCCTTTGCTGCACAGTGCAAAGCTGGAGAATGTTTCCAGCCTCTCCTCCCCAAGCTAGTCCTTGCAGCTCCCAAGTCCCACTACTGGCAGTCCCAGGCACCCTGGGTTGCCCCCATCCTTCCGGAAGGGGACAAGCATTGCAGCACTTTAGGTGTAGGGTCCCAACCGGCCAATGCAGGAGCAAAAGAGGGGCCATCTCTCCTTCTCCCAGGCTGAGCCTTCCTGCATCGGCAGCACTGGGAGGTCACCAATGCACAGCAGGTGCATTAACTAATGATTTAATCACAGCCTGCATAGCTCTAGGCACCCTCACCCCACTGCAAGGGGGCAGATGGCCAGGACCCTGGCCCCAGCAGTGCTGCAGCACCCCAAGGTTCAAGGGCTGCACATCCTTGCGGGTCCCCACCAGCCCAGGGCAGGGACACCCTGCCCCAGGGGCCAGCCTGGCAGGGGCTCACCCAGGGTCTCCCGTGGTCTGGCACCAAGTGCCGCCCAGCTCACCCACGCCCCATCGGGAGCCCCATCTCTCGGGGGCCGCGTCGGCAACCACAGGGGTCGTGCCCGGCTGCCCGCGGGCCCCGC